TGTTTTAATATTTTAAAGATTAGGCAACTTTCTAATTCCTTAGAAAATGAGTTCTGGTAGTGCATCAAGGATAATTTGTCATGAAATGGATTGCCAGACAAAAACGTACCATAAGTATTACAAGAAAAGGATTGTTGAAGGCTGTTCACCTCAAATAAAATTATGTTTCATATTTCATATGTCTATTTCATATCTTCCAGTCTTTAATAGGATCCTTGGGGGAAAATGGCTCCAAATGCACTTTACATGTGGCCTATTCTTTTTAGATATCAAGAAAAAAGTGAAGTGGGTGAGAATGTTAAAATATGATAGGAGAAATATTGTGTGACTAGAGACAAGGGGGGATGTAAAAGCCCAAATATTACCCAAGCTCATTCATGATTTCATCTCTTACTGCATATATCTACACACCAATTTTAGACTTTAAAACCTTCCTGACTGTCATTTCAGTGACATTGGGTGACAGATCAGACTTTCACAGAGCACGGCAGCTTTGCAAAGTATCCAAAATGAATCAGCTTTCTAGGAAAGAAGAAACCTTCCCTCCCCATAGATCTCCCCTCTATGTAGCTAGATCATATGCAGAATCACATGCAGGTATCTCAGAGTGGGATCGAATATGATGAGCATGTGGCAAACAATTACTGATAGAGTGTTATGCTATTGTTGCTCCTGTATCAACACTTTATAGATGTGGCAGCCCTTTCAGGTTTCTACTTTAAGGAAGTCTGTTTTGATTGTTCTTAATTATAAGTTGTGGTCATGAGCAAAACCTTATTAAACATTATGGATGACTTCTGAGAACATGTAATATTAATCGGATTGCATTATTGTGGTCCTAGGAAGCATTTGCTAGAGCAGTGTTCCTCAATATGTGTTGTTCCCCAGCCTTTTGCAGATTTCCTGAGAGTTTCCAGAAAACAAGGAAAGAAATAGTTGTCACTACTGGGCACCAGTATGTGACTGGTCCCTCACACCTTGAAAATGTCAACCCCCATCAGATAGCCTGAGGAGGATTGTGCTAGACCAATATTATCCAGGGTACTAGGCATAGTCAAGCAGGTTTGGCCCAGCTGTCTTGCTGCTTGAGACAGTAACCAAAGTGCTATATCAGCCTCAGCACTTTCACTTCTAGACAAAAAATGCAGTGGTGATATGCACCACTCTCACCCAAGAAGAGGGCAAAAAACAAGATAGCTGTGGCTGCTGTTCTCATACCCAAATTCAAAGAAGAGTCCTGCAGCGGTACTACCGTCTACTCACACTTTGATAAAGGAGGAGGATGCCGCGCCAATCAAGCTAGAACCTCATAAATCTCATGACACCATTGTTTTACTAAAATGGAAAATGCAACAGCTGTAGTCCCTGCTCATAGAGTAGAGCAATGTTGACCTTGTGGAGAAAGTTTGGGAGAGGAGAAAGAAAATTTGCCACTTCTAATATGATGTCACATGGGGAGTTTTTCCATGGAGGCTAGTGGCAGAGCTGATGCTTGTGGTGGTGGTTGTATACCTTCACGTCATTTTTTACCTACAGAGGTGATTTTTTTCAGAGGGGTTTGACAAGAAAGTTTATCTTGCTCATGGCCACTCAGCAGTTTTCCACATCTGACCAGGGATAGAAACCCTAGAGTTTAGGGTTAAATTCTTGCAGTTGTAGCACTGTGCCAAGTTGGCTCTTGAACCTGTAATTTAAGAAGACTCAACTGGAGTCCACCTCATTCATAGCAATGAAAGAGGCTGTGGTTATGGATAACTGAAATCCCATTGAGTTGATAAGGATCTTTCTTGTTGCATTGTGGTTTCTGTCTCCAACAGTATCCAGCCTGTTTATCCCCAAGAGGATACAGGGAATCTTTTCCTCTTGGGGATGCAGGATGTACATTAGTGATGTTGTTTGTCCTAAGAACCTGGCAATAAAATGTCCCTTGCCCCTGAATAAGGCTTCTGTAGCTAATAACCATCAATAGACCTCAATCTCTCCCCCTCTCCTAAAGCCACACCAGTTTGATGCTTTGGAAAAGTAAAGGTAGTCCACTCACTGTGTTCATTATCAGATATAAAAATTACAGTAATCATATGAGTCTGCAATACAGAAGTTCTTAATAATGTCCATTCTGATGAACAACCGAGCCAACCCATTTTAGAATGGAAAAGATAGACTCCAGAAGTGATGAATAAGCTCTTGGTTTTCAAGAGCTCTTTCTGCCAAGTGGAAAATTTTTTGGAGGAATACGGATTTTGCTTGTACAGTGGGTCTGTTTTGTAAGCAGACATACAAACAGCTAAATGAAGCTACACATCTTCATTGATGTTTACTTAAGATTCCACTTCTCATCTGTTTTTCTCAAAAAACTAGAAGCAATAAAAAGTAAAAATTAATTTTATTGGCTTTGTTGTTCCCCATTCTGTAACACTTGGAAGCTTTGGCAATATAGCTTCCAACTGATGTAATGGGTTAGTCATTTCCTAAAGGCTGATTTTTGGTGCAACCTGACTTTTTTAGAATGTTCACAGCACAGAGAAAATATTCTTATTAAATCATTCTTTATTAGAAGGATAGCTGTGTTTGTATGTTAAAGCAATAAGAATAGAGTTAATGTGGCATCTCAAAAGGAACCAGATTTATTATAGCTTGGACATGGTGCTCATATAGTTTAATTTCATACTATTTTAAGATGCTGTGGGACTCTTGGGATTATTTTGTTGTTATTTTCATTCCTACTACTTTAAGTTTTAGAGAGACGGACCTATAATTCACTTTCAAGTACACAATTTATGTAGTGAAAGGTCAAATTTAGACTTGATTAAGAAGTGCATGAAAACTCGGGCTCATCTTCCCATGAGGTCATTGTAAGCAAAATAGAGATCAAAAAGAAAATATTAGTCTTATATATCAACCTCTCATTTATGCCAAAGGTGAGAATATTCACACACACCCCAAGTGTGGTACTGCAGCTCCTACTATCCATAACTATGGTAGTGGTTTAAGTTGCTGTGACTTGGAGTTCAACAGTTTCAGAAGAGCAAACTACTGTAATTCTCAACCTCTCTTCTCCAGCTGTATTCCTAGAGTGAAATCACCGTCCCACAGTCATTTTCATTCTTGGACAGTTGCAGTAATTTGTCACTGACTGTTAGGTTAATTGATTTGGTAAAAGTGGTAGATAGTATTTTCATGGCCTATTTAGAAATATCCAAGTGGCATCAAGGAAGCTGAAGCTAGAGGACTGAGTGAGTGTTTTGATCGGGAAATGATCCTTTTTGTTGCTTTATTGAAAATGTTCCAAATATAAAGACCTGGAAGCATAACAACATCAGACCATTGCACTCAGCCTCTTTTTCATTTAAGATAGTAAGGATGGAAATGTTTCATGGAGTTAAGGACAAGCTGAACAGCTGTTTAAATTAAGATAGGACCGTGTAAATCTTCCATGGTCTTGTCTTAATGCAGACAGCTGCTCTGCTTGTAAATTGAATGAATATTTTCTTTGAAGATGGGATGTAATAACTTGTGATTGCAGTCATACTCATAGTCAGTTGGCTTCATGAAATCAACAGGATGGTCAGAGAAAGGAAGAAATAATGATCCCCTTTTTTGCAATGTCACAAATTGCAGTTGGTGGTTATAGTTGTTCAGACACATGGCCATAAACCGTGTTGTATCAAACCAATTGCCTATGAAGTCCAATATTCTGTTTCCTATGTTGGCCAACCAGATAATAGTTCAAAGCTTTGAAGCAAGGCATGAGTCCACTGGTCCTTCTTGCTATTGATTTTTGGTTCCTGTTTATGCTGCCTTTGATCCTTGAAGTAGTATGTGATCCTGACCTCAGTGGATTTGTGTAATGGCCAACTGAGAATGTAGTTGTCATCACATCTTATAGAGTTCATACTTCTGTGGTGGTAAAGAGTACCCCTTGCAATCATGGAGTGAATTGTGCACACAGTGTGATAGCTTGCAGTACAGTTCACACTTAACAGTAAAACCACATTATGGTTTGTTGAAATCTAGCCCAATCTGCCTAAACAATTCCTTACAAACAAATTCTTGTTTTAAAAAACTGTAAAAAAAAATCAGTTGGAAACCATAGTTTGTTGAGAGAATATGAAGTCTACCATGTTTAAACCATGGTGGTTGGTCACATTCATACTGAGACTTTAGCTTTTCCTTGCCTTGTTTTCTTAGGTGTCTACCCTGAAATATGCAGAGAAGAGGGAACAGGCCAGAAATTAGGAAATTAACTGGTTTGTTTGTTTATCTCTGCGACAATCTGTGGTTAAAGCAATAAGTCATGGCTAGCCTTAACTATGGCTTGATACAGCAATTGAAATTATGAAGTCTTGAAGATGTTTTTGGAGTGCATCTAACCAGTGGTTCTGCTGGATACATCTGTTGAGAGTTTTAGCCCCAAAACATCTTGAGGGCCACATGATTGATCCTCTAGGTTAAAGAGATGTGAAGATGCAAACATGTTGGATGTTTGTGCAGAGAAGAGGGAAGATAGAGGCTGTATTTTTTCCTACTTTGTCATATTACATTCCTTTCTTGTGCTACAGTAGAAAAGAACATACATAATGAGATTGAAAAAAATTGTGTATGTGTGTGATTTACTACTATATCACTTCATGGATAGTGACCACATTTTGATGACTGTCACAGTTTATTCATTCTTTGGGCAAACATTGACTCAACATTCTTTTGCTTTCTTCATTTGCATTATGTACATAAGGTGTAACCCTCAATTCCATTATATACAAATATAATTTGGAAATGCATAAGACATCTTCTCTCAGCTGACAGCACTAGAGGGGAAAATGAAGCCATGGTTCAATCTTCTGAAACCATGAAACAATCTACATCATTGTATTGTTGAAGGCTTTCATGGCCGGAATCACTGGGTTGTTGTAAGTTTTTTGGGCTGTATGACAAACTTGCACTTCTCTCTCCAACACTGACTCTTATTTTATTTACATTTTTATTTTTTCCTTTCCCCCCAGTTGTGTATGAACACCGGTCAAGACTGGAAAAATCTTTACAGAAAGAGAGACTTGAACATAAGAAAGCAAAAGAAGGTAACATTTTAACATTTCAAATGGACAATTAAATGTTGCACACCCATTTCTTTAAGAGGAATCCAAAGTTTTTCATGATTGATGCAAGCAAAGGCTTTGCCATAATCTATAAAACACAGTCTGATTTTCTTCTGAGATTCTTTTGTGTTGATTTTCTCCCTATAGCTTGAAGCAGCTCTACTGGTATACCTGCTGTTCCTGATAATTTTTTTCTCCCAAGTGCTCTGAGTGCATCTTCCCACTTCACTCTATTTAAAAGGATTCTTGGGCCACATCTGTCATCCTTTTATCTATTTTATATAGTTCTTCCATGTACTGTTTCAGTCCGTTTTTTAAATTTATCTTCTGTTTCTCTGTATTTATTATTATATTAGCTCTCCTTGTCCCTGCACACAAGTAGCTGAACAGTTGCATTCAGGGTTCAGACTCTATTTACTGCAAACTTTTGCTTCTCATCTGTCCTTTGCTGCTTGAAGAGTTTTACCTGACATCCAATGGGGTTTTTATTTGTTATTGACTGCAGATAGTGTCTTTTTTGCATTCCTCTCTAATGGTGACCCTGATTTCAATCTAGTGGTTCTATTTCCCAGTCAATTAGGCTTAATAGTACCAATCTGTTTGTGTTTTTTTACATTTTCTACTAGTCTGTTTCTTTACATTTTCTAATGCTGTTCAAAGAAGGAAAGTGATTTTATGATGTTTAGACTTTTGTTATTTATAAATTGTGATTTATATATCCAAGATTTTCCATGTTGGTGTATAACATAAATCTAATGTATGTGGAGTTAGTCACTGACTATGCTATGCAACCCTTGTGTTCAATGATAAATCCTTACAAGTGGATGTACCCCTGAATATGCAGCCTAGTGCACAAGGAAATGCTCAGTTCCTTCTACAAGTACATTGGCATATTTTGGACACCTTTAATTCTACAACTTTTGTCCACAGTGGACAAAAACATCTAATTAATCTATGGGGTACTTAAGGATGTATGAGACACCAGCAGGGTTTTTGCCTAATACATTATTATAACAATGTTAGTCTCCTTGACCTCTTATACAGAAGTGTGAGATATAGAGCAGACCAATCAATTAATATATTTTATTTATTTTTCTTAAGATCTCAGCTCTGCCATCTGTTAGGTGGATGCTTTGCTTGTGCTTTATCTGCATGGCAGGGGGCCGGATTAGATGACTCTTCTAGTTTCTTCCAGTCCAGTGATTCTCTGATAAAACAAGATACAGAGGAAATGTCATTCCTATTTGTTTTATTAATCCAAGAATGCTATGCCATGTTCACAGCTATGTACCGTTTTCGGAACAGATATAAACTCCTCCAGAGAAGCTTCTGATTTATCAAAGCTTTTGCAAAACAAATGCTGAAGAGTAGGTTCCTTTCATTTCAGATATCCTACTTCACAGCTGTCTAGTGTTTTACCCTTTAAGTCTTGAATCTCTTAATGGTTTTGTACTACCATCTAGTGGACAACAATGAAACTCTAGATTTCTCATAACAGTATTTTCCAAACTCAATATGTTGTTGTTGCTCATTCGTTCAGTCATCTCCAACTCTTCATGACCTCATGGACCAGCCCACGCCAGAGCTCCCTGTCGGCCGTCACCACCCCCAGCTCCTTCAAGGTCAGTCCAGTCACTTCAAGGATGCCATCCATCCATCTTGCCCTTGGTCGGCCCCTCTTCCTTTTACCTTCCACTTTCCCCAGCATAATTGTCTTCTCTAAGCTTTGCTGTCTCCTCATGATGTGGCCAAAGTACTTCAACTTTGTCTCTAGTATGCTCCCTCCAATGAGCAGCTGGGCTTTATTTCCTGGAGGATGGACTCAATATACGAGGGTTGAATAAAAAGTATGTAACTCCTCAACAGATGGCAGTACTGGTATGCGGCAGGTTCTGGTTTGTTCAGTAGACTCTCCTCTACAGTTCCATTTAGGTGGGAAACTTTAGCATTGAATGATTGTGTTGTTAAACTGTATGGAACCCTGCACAGACGGTCAGTGCAACTTAACCAACGTGCAGTCATTGAATTCTTGAAAGCGGAAGGTGTTACCCCAAAGGAGATTCATTAGAGAATTCAAGCTGTTTATGGTGATTGTGTTGATGTGAGTACTGTGCGTCATTGGGCAAGTAAGTTTAAAGATGTTGAGATGGGAAAATCTGACTTGCGTGAGAGACGAAGAGATGGATTTTCTGTGAGCAAAAGGTTGACAGATTAATTCAGGATGATCGTCATATCACTCAGAGAGAAATTTCAAGCATAATCGGCATTTCACAAGAACGTGTGGGTCACATTATTGCTTTGCTTGGCTACTGGAAGATCCTTGCATGATGGGTTGCGGAAACACAGTGTCGACTTCTTCAGTGATGACTTCAGAAAACTTGTTCATTATTGGCATAAATGTATCCAATTGTCTAGTGATTGTGTCAAAAAGTGAATAGTGGTAGTTAAAGAGCACATTCTAAGGAGTATTTCTGCATTTGATTTTTAAAACATTCCCATCCAAACCCAAGTAACAAAGGTGGAGGCATTACTTTCCATTCAACCCTCGTAGGCAGTCTCCGAGTTACTAACATCTGACTTACAAACAACTCATAGTTAAGAACGGGGGGGGGGGGGGGGTGAGACAACAGGAAGTGAGAGAAATCTACCCCTCAGAAGGGAAATCCACTCCTGAAAGGGCTATCAAGGGGGAAACGTATCTCCATTGAGACTTTCTTGCCAATCCTTGTTTCCACAGCAAGCCAAGTTTTTCAAAATCCAGTTATCACAGGGACAGAAAGTGAGGTGAAATCTGCACAGACAGCAAATTTTTGCACAGACTGCAAAAGAAATACCACAGGGGTGTTAAACATTCCCTATGCTATCCACAGCATGCATATGCGCATATATATATATATATATATATATATATATATATATATATATATATATATATATATATATATATATATATATAGGCTGGGGTTACACTTAAAAAATGTACCTGTTCCGACTTACATAGAAATTCAATTTAAGAACAAACCAACAGAGCCTGTCTTGTTCATAACTTAGGACTATCTGTAGATGCTTTGTATTTACGCACTAGAAGATATGAATTAATTAAGACATTGCCAGACTTTTTGCATAGCCAAAAAAGCAATTCCAGCACAACAGCAATGTGGCTTACAAATATTAAAGAAAGAAAAGAAACAGTAAATAGTCTCATTGCATTTTTTCCAGCCGGTTAGGACTGTATCTCCATGTCATGTCATCCCAGGGGTGAGCCATTGTAGTGGGGAGTGCGGGGCTGGCTTTCCCCAGTCTTCTGCAATCTGACCCTCCTTCTACAGCAGGCCCAAATAATTTTCTTCGGTAATCCTGCTCAGAATAGCCATTGGAAGTAACATAATGCCAATTACGGTTGCTATTTTGAAAAAAAATCACAGAAGACAAAAGGAGGTATTCGGGGGATCTGTGGAGGTTGTGTAGATAGGGTAGGAACATTTTTGCATGTGTTCATACATTTGAAGGGTTTACATTTTGTTTTCAGCCCAAAGAGCTTGACCAAAATTGTACAGAGTGGGGTTTTTTTTGGGGGGGGGGGTTTGGGAACATTCAATGGCCACAAAAGTGGGGTCCAGGGGTCACATGAGGCCATTTCTCATACACTGCCCTTTTTCATCCAGTCTTTCAAGGCTTACTTGCCACATTTTCAGATCCTGTTGTTTTATTTGGAATTAACTTCCATTTGTTTGGTATATTATTTTCAGCTTTTTCAGATAATCCTGAAAATCTCTCTGGGTAATAATCATTGCATTTCAATTGACTCACTTAGAAAAACATTTTGTTGATAAATTTTAATACTGTTTATTGTTTGGTTTTAAGTGGAGCTAGTGATCAAGGGTGCAAAATTGAGTTGTGTACATATGTGCAAAGCTGGTTGTCTTTGTGAAGCAGAAATCTTTATTGAAAAATTGTTTGAACCTTGAAGTGTCTCCACCATCTGCAAATCTTTCTGTTGTTGTTTTTTTTAGTCTAAGTAAACATTCCTCATTTTTAAAAGTCATTTTCTCCCTCTTTATTTTTAGACTTTCTTGTTTATAAACTTGAAGCACAAGAAACACTAAATAAAGGAAGGGTAAGTGAGAAGATAAAATATATTTCCTCTTATATAAACATAACTGAAAACACAGTTCTGAATAATTTTAACTTTGATGTTTGAAGTGATATTCTTGCTTGGGGATGAACTTCATTCGATTCCTGAGATGTAATTTGCCTAGAGAACAATTTCCATCATTTTACTTACCATTACTACTAAACAGCAAAAGGATGAGCCTTCCTGCACCTTTCCCTTGTAAATTTACTGTGTTAAGTGTTTCACTTCAGAAACATTATTTTAAAATTCTAATTTTAATTCAGGAGTGTCAAACTCATTTTCACCGAGGGTCACATCACATCACTCTTACAGTGTAAACATAAACGTAACTACTCCATAACATATTGTTAAATAACCTGGTACACCACATCACACACCATCCTCGTTGATTGAACATGTTCTGAAAATAGCAACAAACACTAAACAAAATGCAGGCCACAATCATTCAAAATGCTACAAACTCTCAAATTTGACTGAACCTCGTGAGTCACATATGATGTTGCGGTGGGCTAGATTTGGCCCATGGGCCTTGTGTTTGACATATGTTCTAATTCAAACCAGATTATAGTAAACCCTTGAGTTTGCCACTGCAGAACTGTTATCTTACTTGGTTCCTGTTTGTATTGATGATGAATCAGTAAGAGACGTTAAGAGGCAAATCTCTGTTCAGTGCAGAGTGTGACCTGGCCTTTTAGTACTAGAAACAACTGGGGCAGAAAAGCCAAGATAATTTCTGGCAGCATGTTTGTTCTCTCCTGTGTATAGTGATTATATCTTCAGATTATTTTCAGTGGAACCCCTGACCTGCTACACTTGAAAGATATCTACTTCTGGTTGGAAGATTGATTACAGTTTTGTGTTGAACTCCATTGGAAACACAAATCCTGAGGAAAGTAATCTTTGGGACAGCAGCACATTTGCAAGAACCTAAAATCTGATTCTGCACTGGAAACACTGAAAATGAAAAAAAAATGTTTTGTTTAATAGACACATTGAATTATATTGTCAATACTGTAGTGTAAGGTACTTATACTGTAGCAAACTATTCTAGAGATGTCTAGCAATTGGATTTAGGCTTCTGTTGTTTGCATGAATGCTATCCTTAGAGAAGAGGTGATGTGATTTACAGCTGGGAAATTGGCAGATCTCTTCATTGTAAGGAGCACTTCCTTTAGTTTCTAGTTCAATATTAGACAAATAAGATCAAATAAGCAAGAGAACCAGCATAGTATAGTGATTTGAGTGTTGGACTATGACCAGGGTTTGGGCCTCAATTCTCCCCACTCAAATATGCACAAACTGAGCTCCCCTTTGTAGGAATGCAGTGCATATGAGCTAATGCTGCATTTCTCTTTTTTCATTTACAGCAAGATTCCAATAGCAGGTACAGTGCATTGAATGTACAACACCAGATGCTGAAGGTAAATATGATTGTTATAAAAATCTAGTCAGATAATGATAATAATACATTTATTACCAACCTCTCCCTGATACTCTACTTTGCTTCTTTTTATACAACCATTGACCCGAAGTGGGGGCGTGGGGATAGTTCTTGGTTGGGAATTAAGGAAAATTGTGATATTCAGCCTCTTCTGTTGTTGAAATAACTAATTCTTTAACTTAATTAAGTCTTCTGGGTGTCTTGAGAAGTCATCTTTCCTTTTGCAAAAATGTTGCTTCCCTATGTTCCATGTACACACATTTCTATGCACCGTAGAGTGAAGAACTTCTTGTATGCATGCTGAGATATTTCATCAACACTAACCATGGTTCTACTGTCCTGGGAACCTTTTACACTCCACAATTAACCTGATGTGATTTCACTTTAATTGCCATGGCAACATCCTATAGAATCCTTTGGTTTCAACTTTTGTGTATGGCTGTAAACATTGGGCAATAAAGAAATAGAATCAACGTCTTTGAAATGTAGTCCTGGAGAAGTTCTATGGCTAACATTACAAATTAACTGGTCCTTGAGCAAATTAATCCTGAACTGTCCCTGAAAGTCAAGACAACTAAGGCAGTCACACTTTGGATATATCATGACATAATATGCACTGGAGAAGATGTGCTAATGCTTGATAAATTTGAAAGCACTTGGAAAATATGAAGACCATATAACATCTGGTCAAGAAAGTGATGGCATTGAGGTGACAAGACCTAAGAAGGGCAGCTGATGACTGGGGCTATTGAAATATTCATTGGGTGATCATAAGTAGAAGTCAATGACAAATAACAGTATGAGGTACTAGAGCTCTCTGGCCGTGTATTCTCATCCCCACTATCTAAACTGCAAATACCAAGATTCTATAGATGTTGTCACAGCAATTAAAATAGGATCATAGCACTATAATTGTGTAATTTGGAAAGGTACCTGACTTTCCTTCTTAACCAGGCCCACTCTCAGTTCACAACATTATACTAGCCTATTTATGTAACCTGAAGAAATTCAGCACTAAATAGCCAAACAGGTAAATAGATGTACATTATTTTTAAGCAGTAGTGACCAGCAATGGTCGTTTAGATGTTTTGGACCTACGATAGTAATCACTGACATTGTATGATGGTATATAAAGGTTTGAAGTTATAGTTGAGTAGATGCCAATTGCACATTAGAAGGAACACCTTGACAGTGGAACCAATAGCCTAGAGAGGTTGTAAGGACTTCTTCACTGAATGTCTCAAGTAAGATGCCAGACAGCTGGCAATGCTGGTGATCCTGCATTGAGCAGTGTTTGGACTCATTGACTCAATTTGATTATATTATTTTAGACCATAGTTGCCACCTCTGGTTTCGTCAGTTCTGAGGACCTTACCTGACAGCCATTTCCTCCTACTCCTCTCTGTGAAAGAGACCAAATAAGCAACTGCTACAATAATGAACTGTTGTGCTGCTCTAGTATAGCAGTTGAATACCTATGTTTTCAATGTGTAGTTTATTTTTGATAAGTATTTTGGTATGGTCCAGCTTTTCATTTATTTTTGTATTTTTACAGAGTCAACATGAAGAATTAAGGAAACAGCATTCGGACCTGGAAGATGATCATAGGAGACAAGGAGAAGATTTTAACCGTGTGATCAATGATCATAAACAGAGATACGCAGAGCTACAGCAAGAGAAAGAGCAGGAGCTGTCAAAGATAAAGGGTATGGATTGCAGTAACTCATTTGCAATTAAACTTTGGGTATAGGAGAGGAAATATCTATTATTTAATTGCTAGTTTTCAGTAGGAGCCAAAAGTAAATATTTAAACTTTTGAGTGATTCAGATCCTCTATCAAAATATATCTCTAGGATCAAGATTTGTTTACATTTGAATTTTAACAGAATCCATATATAATCTGCGAGAAGAGAACAGGCAGTTGAGGAAAGCCCACCAAGATATTCATACTCAGCTACAAGATGTGAAGGTAAGTTTCCAAATCCCTGCAAGGCGTTATTGAGGAAGGGACAAAATCTTCTGTTTGCCAAAGAGAATAGAAATCTTGCAAGTGGAATAAGAATTGATGATTCAGATATTACTTTCTTAGTGGGTTGTTGTAGTTTTTTTTCGGGCTATATGGCCTTGTTCTAGAGGCATTCTCTCCTGACGTTTTGCCTGCATCTATGGCAAGCATCCTCAGAGGTAGTGAGCCTTCAACAATACATTACTTTCTTAACTTAATGAAAATAAAATATTTAGAGAAACTTCTTAAGTACACATAGTGCTGTCTTGTGGAGATTAATACATATCTTCAAGCCATATGTACTATGAAGAAGAAAAAATAATCATTTTCCTGCACTCGGCATGCTGGCTGGGAAATTCTAGGGGTTGTAGTCCCATTTTATTGAGTTTGGGGAATCCATTTAGATTTGGACACTCTTTGAATTCTGGTGTATTAGGCTATGAAAGAATAAAAAGTACTAAGAGAGATGGCATTTTCTTCTAATGGTGCATGGTAGCTTTTGCCAAATGTGACCTCTCTCACTTTTTTCAGTGTATTCACCCTGTGTGAGATGTGTCACCATGATTAAGTGCTAGAATGTGAATCTTACAGGCCTCCAGTTGTTGTTGGACTATATTTCCCAGTAGTCCTTGCTTGCATTGCCAGTGGCAAGGCATTCTGGGAGTTGAAACCAGCAATATTTGGAATGTTGCATGACTCCTGCTCCTGGTTAAGAGACATTGGAAACTGTCAACAGGAAGAGCTAAGAATGTTTCTTTTAATTGTAGGTAATACATATGTTTACTCCAGCCTTAACCGTGGTGATGTAAAGCTTGGGGAAAAAAAAACTTTACAGCATGTTTAAAGATGTAGTTTATTCCCATTATTTGTCGTAGCATTTGCCAAATAAATTCATTCTCATTATTCATTGTAATTGTTTTTCCACTTGTAATGTTTTTCATTACCATTTTTGTATTGCCTGCCATCCCAGGATTGATAAGTGATAGGCATGAATTTGAAAACATTTCATTAATAATCCTCTAAAATAACTTTTAAAATTATTTTCTAAAACGAGGATGAAAATAAGCAAACTTGGTAAACAGTCTTGATGGTAAGCAAATGCTCTGGGCTGATCTTAGCAAGGGTTTCTGCTTAATTATAAGTGGTTTGAAACATATAGCAGCCCTTATTTAGGAAGGAACCTGGTTAATATTAACCATGGCTAAGGTTAATTTACCCTTTATCTGTGATTAAGGTAGGAACAGAAATTTATTCTATTGGTAAGGTCAGTGTGTGAGAAGTCAGGATAATAAATAAACCTCACATCTTGTTCCTAGCCTGTTAAACATAATTATATCTGTACCAAGCCCTTTGTAACTGAAGGTTGGAAAGATTGGAAAAAACTATAGTTAGTGAATTGATTAGTAGACAACTGATGAATCACTTTCCAATCAAGCTGACAGCCCTAAGAATATATGTTTAGATTTTAAAAAATGATTGGCACTTGCCTTGATGAAACATGCTTGGGATCAAATTTGATGTGGTGTTTTCTTTTGTGTAGCTGCAGCATAAGAATTTGCTCTCCCAACATGACCAGCTTGTAGTGACATTGGAAGAACACAAGAGTGCACTAGACGCTGCACAGGTCAGCCAGAGAAGTGGCTTTGAATTAGCCTCCACTTTTAATAAATTGGGTTTGGGGGTTTTTTTTCTACCTCTAATATCTTCCTAAAATGCCTTTCCCTTTTCTTTCCGCTGCTGATGGCAACTTTTGTGCATGCATATTTTCATTTTTATTTTTGCACGGGGATCACAGCTTAACAACTGGCTGCACTCTTGGGGGAGAGACATCCATGCCTGGAAGCATTTCTGCTAAGCCAAAATTATAGCACAATAAATTGTTGTTGTTTCTTGACAGCTCTATTATGGGCTTGAGTGAATGCATCTATGGATAAAAGCTGAATCTTTTCTTTTCTGAAGGCTGTGAAATATTTAGTGGAGTGTCTTCTCTTCTTCAGCCTGTATAACATAGCGACTCAGTTCTTTTGTGCTTAGAAAAAAGTCATTCCCAATGTATGTTTGTGTGTTTGCATGTGTGTGCATACATGTGATTTACAAGTAAGCTTTCTTTGGTACTAAAGCAAAATCATTTCAAAATGGAAGCAGACTCATTGTGTTGTAATTTGTTTTCTGTGTTGGTTGGACTGGGTGTTGAGTTTCCTGGAACAAGATCAGTTATTGTTTCATTTTCTTCCCAAGCAGCCTCTCAAAATAGGGGAAACTAGTCCACAATCAACACCATGTTTAGATAGATAACTATTATCTGTACAAGAACCCAGAAGAAATGGAAGAGTTTTTATTCTTCCTGTATACCCTTTCTTCTTCCAAACAGTCCTCTGCTGATCTAATCTGGATTTTCAAACAGTCCTCCGGGTCTAATCTTCTTCCATCTTACTTTTCCTGAGTAGACCACTCTGCCCAAAAAGACTCCGAGCTGAAAGAGAGAAGGGTGACCATAGGGTTGTTTTGCCACCATAGAAAACAATTGAGCTCCCAATTATAGAGGGACATTGCGGGGAAAAACCCCAGAAATATTGGGCTTGTAAATGAATAAATTTCAGTAGAAATCAAAATGCAGCAGGGATAACCTGCAAGTTATTTGAACTCTTAATTGCTGTGCTTGGATTGCTGTATCTAATGTCATTATCATCATTGGTATCATTATCATCTAATGAGGGAAGTGGTTCTAATGATTTCATCAGCTTCTGATGGTGGCTTCTATGACACTGAGGTGGTAAATCTGCTCCGAACTTTAAAAGAACTAACCAAGCGGTGGAACCTTTTTTTTTTCAGAGATAGGGTTATCTGAATTAGATAACCATTCAGATTAAAGCAGCAGTGGGTTCAACTAAATGTTGAAGGAGCTACTCTAGATTCACAACTGGTTCTTATTGGTCTCCATCTGTGCTGGGGTTTTCTACAGTGTTCCATGCTTTCTCCATGGAAAATCATGACAAACACCAACTTTGGCAAGGATGTTTTGTGAGCTTTATGACTTGATGGGGCTTTGAAATTAGGCCCAGCACTGAAGTCTCAACAGGAGCAGTGGGTGACTTGTGACCACACCCAATAATTAACAGTATGCATTTCCCATTAGCCCTATAGTCAGGGAGATTTGCTGTCCTTCAGAGAATGTAAAGTATCACATTCTTCCCATTTGTGATTTTACATTAATTTTGTAGTTGACTGTACAAGCTCTGCACTCATGTTTCAACCCAGATATCAACATTAGGTGGGATGGTGTTGATGGTGCATTCACATCAGGATGAATATGAGTTGCAGGGAGAGTTTGCAAACAGCTTGTTGATTAATGTATCAGGTGAGTAATAGTTTCTGTGTATGAGAGATGTGTGCTTCAGAGAAGGAGGAGAAGAAAGGAATATGATAGAGATCTGGTTTCATGAGACTTGCTTTTCCTTCCCTCTGTCCTCTCTATTCCTAGGCTTTTGTGTAGTCTCTGTTTCACTAGACATAACAAGGAGACCAAAAAGGCGAGAATATTTTGTTGTGTTAGAAACAATGGGTAATCTATATCTTTCTTAACTCCTTTAAGTTATTGTCTCCTGCTTACAACTGGGAACAGCCTTTTGAATTCAGCACTGTCACTTGCTCTGCAATGCCTTTGATTCCCACCACTTTGCTTCTACTCTGCTACTGAACCTTCTTCCCACAGGGTTTTTCCTATTTGATGAAAATATATGTGTCTTTTATGGTAAATGAGTACCTTAGGTTGAGCTCAAGTGTACTAGGATGTTTTGTTTATATCAAAGTTGTAATGCACCCCCAAGCTACTGAATTATTACTGAATAGATGAAGTATTTATTTTATATTTATTTACAACATTTTTATGCTATCCAATAATAAACAGTTCTTTGGGGGGATTTACAGTAAATGCTAAGCCTGCTTCCACATAGAAATGCAAGATATAAACCCAGTACTGTATACAAATATGATTGTAGAAGATCTTTTGGGGTTGCTTAGGTACATAGGGGTGGATGGATCAATTCCATGAATCATCCATTGAACTTCTTTTTTTTCTTGTTCCATCATTTCCAGTAGGAGTTTTCCCTCACTTCATTTTTGAAAAATTCACAATTATTTATAATCTTCTATGCAACCTGTGTAAGAGCAGTAATAGACCAATATATATGTATCCTTATATATATATCCTTATATATGACCTTGGAGGTGTTAACCGACAATGCCGAGAAATGAGGATGAGCACCAACCCCCAGAATCAGACACGACTGGACTTAATGTCAGGGGAAAATCTTTACCTTTACTATGTATCCAAACAAATTCTTGAACATGAGACTTTTGACTTCTCGTGTTCACTTAATGACCTTTTTGTGGCCTTTTTGGGTCTAGTTTTCTACAGGCAGTCCCCAAGTTACAGACATCTGACTTACAAACAGCCCATAGTTAAGAACAGGGGTGAGACAACAGGAAGTGAGAGGAATGTAACCCTCAGAAGGGAAAAGGTATCTCCACTGAAGCTTTATCACAGGGACAGAAAGTGAACTGAAATCACCTGAACAGGAACACAGGCAGCAAAACACAGGGGTGTTAACCCTTACCTATGCTGTCCACACACACACACATACACACATATATGGAGCTACAATTTATCTGTTCCATCTTTCATACAAATTCAACTTAAAAACAAATATATCTTAACTCGGGGACTGCCTGTACTCTTAAAACTCACCATACACATCTTTGTTCCAGTATTAAAATGTTGAGTTGTTGTAGTACATCTCACTGAAAAGGCATGATCACTTACAAAGTGATCATGCTATCTCATTGTGTCATCATAGAACTTGCAAAAGGATGATAAAAACATTCATTCATGCAGTATGTAATTTTTTTTAAATGGGAAAAGTTATGTGAATGGAGTAAGGCTGTAGCAGTGACTGTCAGTGTCACATATAACACTTAAGTCCATTTGCAAATCCCAACTGATTGAATCAACTATTGCATGGTGAATTCTCAATTATAGAATTTCTATTGATTCAGTAAATCTACTTTGATTTGGACTAGCAATTGGATTTATGATGTTGCTTTAGGATTGGGAATGAAGAGCCCCAGAAGATCTTCCACACACGGTGATGTGGCAAGAGATGAAAAGGTTTGTGGGTAAAATTGGAGCTGGTAGTGGAGATTGCTCGGCTAGACCTTGATATCTCTAATTGTGATCCGATAGGTATGCTGCACGACATGGTTTTATTAAACCACTCATGTTCCACCACTTTGCCTTGTGTGTTGTTTCATTGTATGTCCCTTACTAGATTCTTGTGGGCAACTGGCTGGCCATAATGGCAAACAGGCCGATGAAACAAGCAGGCTCTTAGACTCACGAAGTAGGACTCTTCTTAGGTTTTCATACATAAGCAATTTTCTTAAGAATGGGAAGTTGTTTTTCTTGAAGAAATGTTTGAACAAGTGCATGAAATTAATCGTTATGCTTTTTCTCAAGGGTTGTAATGGTTATGTATTCACTCCATCGAACTTTCTGTTGGTGAATTTCTTCTCTTTGAAAGGTTGAAGAGAAATGCAATATTTCATTTTTGACAGTTTTGTTCCTTTTCTTTAAAAAAAACTAATCCCAGTTTCTGGGCTGTGAGGTTTTCTGCTTTGCATGCCTGCTGTAAAGTATTAAATTGGTGCACTCTGGCGCATAGAAATATGTAGTTCCAGCAGATGGGCATTTTAATCTGATGAGCATGCTTAAGTTAAAATCCCACATTGCTTCTGAGCTGTGAGCTTCCATGCAGTTTTTAACAAGAAGCGGTTCATTTGACAGTGCTATCTAATGCTTTTATTTGAATATCTAGTCCCAGGTGGAGGAATACAGGCAGCTGAAGGACACCCTGAAAAAGATGCCCAGTTTCCAGAAGCCTGAAAGTTTTAACCAGCCACATGCTCAGCTAGAGACACCAACACCTTTTCCACTAAGTGATTCCAAAGCACATGGTGCAAATGCTGATGAAAAGCAGGTACAAATATTTGACTGACAAAGCTATCATTGATTTTAATCATAATCATTAATGTTTATATAGAACCTTCTGACTGTTCCAAAACAACAACATGATATAGAGTAATTTGTAAAATGAGTCAATTGTTATTACTGATGGTGCACCAGTAGGGATGGCCAAACGTAAAGGAACTTTTCACTCTGGCTGATTAGTGATGTCAGAACTAGACAATTGAAAGCTGACACTATTGTTTGCAGACCATGGTTTGTGCTAACTATCATTTGGGGTTATGTCTGTATTGACCGACCATAGTGATACATCATAAAAATTGGAGTATTGAACAAGTGAAAAGTCAAAGCAGAGGAACCTAAACCATGGTTTGCCTGTAAGTTTGGAAGAGGAAATTGTATTTTAAATTATATCTTTAGAGCAGCCCATCCTTGTAAATCTGTAGAATCTGTCCCCAGGCACTTCAAGTCAAACATGAGCTTTAAGTGACAGAGGTATTCAAAGTAGGAGTGGTAGTTAATTGCTTTTATACCCTGCCCATTCTCAAAATTTGGGCTCAAGGTGGATTCCACATTTATAAACAATATACTTAAAGCATACAAAAGCTCAACATTAGAGTAGAATTGATTTGCCATTACAATCTAAAACATGCAGCTGAAATGATAAAAAGTAATTGAAAATAATAAAAACAGATTAGCATCCTCCTAAGAGCTCTTTCTTCAAAAACAGAGAGTATTCAAAAGCCTTCTAGCATTAAAAAGTCCTTGCCTATTAATAGAAAGGATGCAAGGAGGGGACTGTCCTAGCCTTCCTAGGAAAGGAGTTGGGTACCTCCAAGAAGGCCCTCTGAACTTTTTGGAGGGACTCCAAAAAGCCCCCTGAAGAACTTGTTCCCCCAGGGGGCATGTATTCCAATCCAGGAAAATGAACTGCTCAAAAGATGTGATGGCTTCCATTGGCCAAGCCCAGGAGTCAACCTGTACATCACTTATTGCTGCCTGGCAATACCTCTGCATTTTTCAACATAAGAGTGTTGTAGGAAGCCTTCTAATTAAAGCAAGAAAATGCTTTTTTCCCAAAGAGCATGCCGAACCAGCAAACCCAGTACAAGTGTTTATTTTAGCATAGGCTTGAATTAGTCTGGAAGAAAATGCTAATATCCTTTCCCTGCTTAGTGTGTAGATGGCCATGTGTATTCAGTAACTAGTCCTTTCGGAATGCTTGTGGTTAATAAACCATTGAAAATCTTTGCTCTTTGCGAATGTCACTTTAAATAAGAGAAAGCCTTCTCAATGTCCATCATATTCGCATAGCGCAAACTTCGGGGTTTGTATATTTTAAATATAAATGTATACATTCCATAGGTGATATTTCTTTTTCTATTTCTTTTCATTTTTTTTAATTAGAATGACTAAAGAACAATTATATGCTGCCACAGATCTATAAAAACTAGTTCTTGGCAGTAAATGCTGGTTGCAAACTGGGACAAGAAGACTCCCTTGCTGATGTGTAATGTTTGCAAAGCAGAAATCACCAGTAGTTCAAACGTGAAAGATGTATCTAGACAGCTCAACTCTAATGGGAGAATTTCTGAATCAAAATAAGATTTGTTCTCTTAGCGATGATTTCACACCGGGATATCTGGCAGTTGATATTCTGATGCTTGGTGACTTTGCTGCTCCAATTCATAAATGAATGCCTAAACTACCTCTACTGTCCTTCAGAGTCATGTCAGGTGATAGGAAAGCAGAGAAAGCACATGTGAAGTCACCTTTAGATAACTGCTTGCACTGCTTTTTCAGCCTAAGTGCAAGTTTAATGGCAGATTACTTTTTTTGTGTGGGGTGAGGAGCATGCCCTTGATTTTGTACTAAATAAGGCCCATAATATTGGAATACTTTAGCTACTTCTGGTACCTAAGTTTTAGTATGAGAAGCATTTACATGTGTTAGAATGGGGAAAATGTGCAAAATCTGGGAACCACCATATTATGGTGTTGCATAGAAAGTGATATGATGATTTAGAGGATCCCATCTGGTGATTCCCCATCACTGCTTCTTCTGAGTTCCAAGTTTTATTGCAGTAGTGGCAAACCAGATGCTCCTATGTTTTGTTCCAGTAATGACAAATCAGTTGCTTTTGAAAAATACACACGTATTCATTAGTTCCATAAAAGAGGTCTGAGGAATGTTTGACCCTATATGATTTGGACCACAATTGTCATAATCTCTTACTATTGCCACGTTGTCAGAGACGTTTGGGGCTGAACCCCAAAACATTTGGCAAGTCAGTGCTTCTTCAGTCATTCACAAAGTTAAATTTAACTCTTGAATGTAACAAGTCCAGTGATGACTATCTTCTGTGTGTTCATTTTTAAAGCCTTGCGTGGTAATGATCAATAATTCCAATTATAGTAATTTGAAGTAGAACCACAAGTTTCCCACAGGTGGCACTATTTTGTTAAGTATTAATTGTTTTCTACTTCCTTTTTTACATTTCGGCTATTTAATTTGAAATTTGTCAAATTAATTTAGGGCTCAGGCTTGAATTGACTGATATGTGTCATTGGTTAACTTAACCATATTAATTTTTTCATGATCTATCATCTTTAAGACTTCTCAGAAAGGTGCCCACTTGGGAATGGTCTTACGCTGCCCTCTTATTTTCCTTGTACCTTATTCCTCCACATAGTCTGTATGTTTATCTCAGAAAACCTGATAAAAGGTTAGAGGAACGAAATCACATGCTCTACAGTACATTGTCTTTATTTAGTACATCCAATAAGCAACCTTGTATTTGAAACAAACCACCCAGATTGAATCTTCTGTATGGCTGTAGGTTGTGCTGAATGGTGAACAGCCACTAGGAGGAGGAGAAACCAACAGAGGAGTTCATTCAGAAGGAAGAGAAGAGAGAGTTGGACTGTTCCATCCTGGCAGAAAAGAGTTTGAAGGTCATGTATTGAGGGAGTTAAATATACAGGAGAAGCAGGAAGCTGGAGAGGATGAAGAACAACATGTGGAGCAAGTTGGAGAGGAACACAAAAAGGAACTTGAGGAAGAGGAAATGGAGCAAGCAGGGCAACCAGAGCACCTAACAGAGGATCTAGACCAAGTCCCTGGGGAACATGACTGGAAGGAGAAAGATCGGACTGAAGAAGAGACCAAGATTATGCAGGAACACAATCATTCAGAGGTACTCCATTTTCCTTTTTATTGACTAAATTCAACCCTTTCTTTCATTTTTTGTCCTTTCCTCAGAGAAAGCTTGCTAGGGAAGTCTAGGGGTTAAAGTTCAAAAAATAACTTTCACATAAGTGTGTGCATATGTATACACACGTACATACGCACATATACTTATGTAGAAATACACACACATACATCTTACAAAAATAACATCTCATATAGACATACCACACACAGAAGAAACATGTTTGGAGAGATCAGTAGAAATCTTATATATAAATAACTTTTCATATGCACGTACATGTATACAGTCTAGCAGCTAATAGTAGCTATGATGATTATGCGAAATTAGGTTAATACATTTGTATTAAAGAAGAAATGTTACAATAATCAGAGTTATAAATTTCATCTTAAATTGCAAATTTTATGTAAGTTTTCAGCTTGCTATTCTTGTGCAGTAATGCACTGTTGTATTGTTGAATTGCTGATTTGTAAACCACACTTAGTTTCTCTTGTAATTTTGCAACACCTCTCAACTATTAGGAATCTTTAATCCATTTAAGGGTATATACATTTGTATGGAAAACACACACACATTGATATTGCCCAACATGTTGAAACAATGAACTGGCTCACTATAAGGCAATTTCTTTTTGTTCGCCCTATCCCAATGTCTAACCTCAGCAGTTTGGTTTCAATTTAGGTGTTGGGAAGAGGTTGTCAGTGAGCTGTGTGCAGCCCTGGATATGTTCCCTCCCTCCTGCTGACACTTTTATTCTTCCAAACATGTAGAATCACAGTAGTGGATACTTTAAGGAGTTGCAATTGTACTCCAAAGCAGGAATGAGGTCTTACATCACCAACTTTTGGCCTTTTGGAGAGTGCTGTTCAAAAACAGAAATGAACTTTTGTTCATTTTTATTTAAAATGCTTTTAAACTCTACATTTTCAGTGTAGATGTGGCCTCTTGTACACCCTGAGGGAAGGAGAATAAAATAGGTTGTCCATCAGTGATTTAATCTGGTAATACATGGAGTTATGATATAAGTACCGTATTTTCCGACTTATAAGACAACCAGACATATAAGGCGACCCCCAACTTTTCAATTTAAAATATAGGGTTGGGATATACTTGGCATATGAGACTACCCCTCTTGCCAGCCCCTGTACTTTCTTTATATCTACATCTGCCAGGACTGGATAGCACTGAATCACGGCACAGTAAGTGGTGCCAAACGGCATGAATTCTACAGAATCTTCCTTCTTTGTGTTTTGCACCACTCCTCCCACCAGAGGTCTGGCTGGCTGAGGCCTCTGGGGAGCTGTAGTCATTCTTAGGTGAAATGGGCCCGCTGCTCTGGACCCAGAGAGTGAGTGTGTGTGTGAGAGAGAGAGGATGCAGGTTCCCCTTTCCTTCCTTTATTCATGGGTGACACAGAGGTAGGGTTATCTCAGCAGCATGTCCTTGGTCAACGCAGGAACCAAGGGAAGCCTGACAGAACTGCCCTTGCTCCTCTCCTACATACAGTCTCCCCATCTCACCAAAAAAACCCATCTTCCAAAGGCTGGCAGGAAAAGACAAGTGGACAGAGGCGCCAAATCTGGCAAAGTTTTCCTTAAAGAGGCAGGGTGCAGAAAGACAGAGGTGATTGGTCGGGAAGCAGAGTAAGCGTGGCCCCTTGAAATATTGTTTGTGGACGAAGATAGTAGGTGGTTTTGTTGTTTGAGTATTCTTCCGGACTTGTGCTACTGGCATTGAGAAGAGTAGCTTGCCAAAGAGGGGATGTCACTTCCTTTGGGAAAATTTCAGAGAGGAAATTTCAGAGAGGAAACCCTGCCATCAACACTGCCAGACAATGCAGTGTAAAACTGCATTATATGGTCAGTGCAGACTCATATAATGTAGCTGCTGCTGCTGCGCCCTTCCGGTGCCTTCTGTTGGCTCCCCACTGCAGGCTTCAGCCTCCCTGAGGGCTCCTCTACTCCATGCTGATTGGAAGACTTGAGTATATCTCAACTTTTATTCCCAGAATATAAGACGACCCCTGACTTCTCTGAGGATTTTCCAGGGATAAAATGTCACCTTATAGGCTGGAAAATATGATAACTTTGAAAATTAAAGTCACTTTAAAAATTGAACTTGTTAGATACGCATAAGTTTGAGATGTGGTGTTCAGATATTATGTTTAACACAAGACCACAAAAAAAGACAACCCTGGATTTTTCATTGCCCTTCTCTCCATCCGGATATGCCCTAACATTTTGACTGGCTGTTTTAGCTTTCTAAAAGTAGTGTGCCCTGAGGAGGTGATGCCTTCAGAGTATTGTGCATATAGGACATGTTTTGTGTCAAGCTGTAAATAGAATCTCAGAAAGATGGCTTTGCCTTCTGGGTCATGTCTCAGGGGCACCAAACTGTACTTGTTTCTTTGGTTTCCACCTAGATCTTTGCTGATGTTTAGCCAACGCACAAAGTTGTCCTGTTATTTCAAGCTTCATTAGGACTCAGGCATGTCCTGCAGCCCAAGATTTAGCTGTTGTTTGCTTTCTTACATGAAATTTCTTCCCCTGATGTGTTTGTCCATCTGTTTGTGCTTTCTTGCTCTCAGCCTTCTGAATTTCCCCTAAATGTCAGTTTGTTGATACCAACAGCACACATTTATTTTTGGGGATGGGAGGGAAAGAAAGATTTGAGGGAGGAGATCCAGTCATCCAGCCTGATTTGGTATTTGCTTGTTGTAATTTTCCTCTTCCTTTCAGTGTTCCCATCAATATTACAGCTTTTTTGAAAAGGTGTTGGTAAAGGAGTGAAGAAAAGTGGTGTAGTGTGGTGTGGTGGCCACCACACTTACTTTTCAATTGTTTTTAGTTTGCTTCCGCATGCAAACTTTGCTTTTATTAGTCTCCTGACAAAGTTTTCATCATAACCCTATAAGTTTGTTTAGCCAGAGAAACTGTGGCAGACCCAGAATTGTCTAGTAAATTCAGAGTTGACTGGGTTTCAGCCCTGATCTCTCTCAAATTCTTATCCAATATAGTACCCCTTGAACTTTTCCAATAATAAGATACAAAGCTGTTATGTTATTGCAGAATCCTTTACTGGTTGTTTTACATAGGATGCTCTACCTGGCTGGTCCATTTTGCATTGCTGAGCAAGTGGAAGGGAAAAGGTAGAATACAATGTTTGACTCATACCTCAGTCTGGGAACCATAAGGTCAATCTCCAAATGAAGATAGCACCTTCTTATGGAGGGATAGGTTGGCTCCTTTCCCTCTTTTCTTCCTTCCAACAACAGAAACTAATGTGACTTACTTTTATTCAGGAAAAACTTTGTCAAGGTTAGATCAGGAAAGAAGTTTGTAGAAAGGCTATGTTGTTTTTATTGACTTTATGGTGTGCTTCAGTTGCTCTTCAGAGTTCTCTTGTGTTTCAGTCTATTTTATGTTGCAGTGGTACTTGCTTTTGTTTGATTTTATGGTCATCTCTCTTGAGTTTGGAGGGAAATACACATTCACATTTTACGAAGTCAAATAAACTAAGAGCCCCAAATAATCAAATTGGAATCTTTGTTTGAGGAGAACCAGAGATGATGATCTCCTTTTGAACAAATAACTTCTGGCTCATTCGTCAGACAATAACACAAAGAATGAGCATACTCAGTTATTGGGTTTGTTCTAACATATGGTCACTTGTTATCATCTTTGTTCCACTTCTAGGTTTTTAAATGTGTTTAACCTATACTAGATATCTGTCATGAAATGCTCAGGAAAAGAAGTAAGCTACCATGTTCCCAGCTACCCATAGTTCTTATTCAATGTAAGGAATACCTTTGTCTTTCTCTAGGAACCCCCAACTGCAAAGACTGTAACTATACATAGGTACAAATCACCCTATGAAGAGCAGTTGGAGCAACAGAAGTTGGCTGCTCAGAGAGCAGAAGAAGCCAACCGCCTCCGGGAACGACAAGAGTCTCTGCATCAAGGGAAGCTTCAGGAACAGTTGCTAAGGCAGCAGCAGCTTCAAGAAAGAGAGTTGACTCTACGGAAGCAGGCAGAGCAGGACGAAGAAAACTTCAAGCACCAACTGAGGTTGTCTTTAAAAGGAACTTGGGGCTTTCACTAATCTGGGAGATAACCCTATTAGGGCCAGGAGCTTCTACCATTGTGCTACTTTTTACACAATTTCCTGGACAGGACTAGGAGTGATGCAGCTATTTTGAGTGCGTGGTGCATGGACATGTTAGCTTTGTGGAGAGCATCATGTGATTCTTGTCAGATGTTGGAATAGCACCAGATGATTCTCTGAATAATATATGTTTCTGGAATAAACCGTTGTAAAGTGGCATTTAAAATGCCTTGTTATAAATAATTATCTCCCCTCTAATATAAGGTCTGTCATACAGAAACTCTGTAGTGCATTGAATTTCTGTCATAACATCCCCACACCTTTGATTTTTGAAATGGGAGATTGTTCTTGTAGTTAAGGGAATCATGCCCCATTCATTTTACTGGTCTGGTGTGTTGGACCTTGATGCCAACATTGCTGGGACCATCCACAATTCATTAGTTATGTGTTAGGATATTTATCAAGCCATTTGTGGGAGGCAATGGGCAAGCATACTACTTTAGGCACCTGCAGAAGATATGGGAGCCAGTTTTCACCCTTTCTGAAAATTGGGTGATAAGTAGCTGAATATTTAGCTGCATTGTCCTTTAAATCATATGGTACCTTGAGTCCGAATTTTGGGAGAAAGACATGATGATGATGATGATGATGATGATGATGATGATGATGATGATGATGATGATGATGCTGTGTGTCACCCTAGTTTTTAAAAAAGAGAGAAATTCTGTGAATCTGAATTAACCCATTCATGTAAATTTTTCAGCCAACAATCCCATTATGACAACCTAGATCAGGATATTGTGCAAGGAGAAGAGCAAGGTGCCCAGGAAGAAGAGGAAGAAAGTAATTATTTTTTAAAGTTTTTCTGTGTAATTAATATATATGGGGTTTTTTTGCCTTTATTGATATGTTCCCATTGCTTTTCAAATTCCTTTTACATTTTAATCTGTTATATGTTGCTGGAAGAGGATGGAACATTTTAATCTGAATTTATTTAAAATTATTGGGCTCCATGTCAGAAGAAAGGCAGTCTTTCATTCACTCATTCAAACATAATAAATAAATAAATAAATAAATAAATAAATCTTTACAAGTAATAACTAAGTCAGCACTACTATATTTACAGTTTAGACATTTCACAACATTTAGCATTGCTACATGGAACTTCCTTGTGCATACTTTTCTCTTTGCAAAAAACAAAATAATCAATTCAGGACTAAAAAAAACCCCAATAAATCTGGTTTTATTTTAGTCTTGACTTCATAAGTGGGAGCCCATTCCTATGGTCCCTATTCCTATGAGTCTCAGCTTGTTCTGGTCTTTCTAAATGTGAGGATGGTTGAATTAAAAATGTATATTTGTATTTGTTATATATTTTATATTTTTATACTGCTTAATAGACAGTTTTCTGGGTGTTTCAAAAATGCAATAAAATTATTCTTGATCAGACTATGAGCGACAGAACCAGCATTTGGATGAAGCAGAGGAAGACCAAAATAATGCAAATGAACACCATGATCGGGAACTGGACCACCAAGCTATGAGTGAGCAGAATGATGATCCGGTGAGTAGCAGTGGCACCTACTAAAATTAAAAATGTCCTTTTTGGCAACTTTAAAATATACATGACTGGACCTGATTTTTGTTCTGGCAAAGACAGACAGCCTAGACTGCAATTCCCCTAATCCTTGCCTATTCTTCATGATGGCTCACATTTATGGGAGTTGTAGTTTAAAATATTTGGAGTATACCAAGTTACCATCATCTTTGCCACTTTTATGCATTGTTGAAAAAATATGATAGGAAGAAAAACAATTTGCCTCACACACTTTGGTCTTCTGGGGGGCATCGGCTCCAACCAGCCAGAACCGAACTAGCAACCGCCACCCAGAGGACATTTTCAATGACCACCCCATGACTGGAATGACCTGCCTGAAGAAGTTCGACAGCTGAATGACCTGTCAAAATTTAAAAAAAAACATGTAAAGACCTATCTCTTCCAGCAGACCTACCCAGATAGTCTTTAAACATACATGTTAAATGTGTGCCCTTTGTTTACACTCTGTTTTGTGTATTTTAATATGTATTTTATAGAAATACGTTCGGGTGTGTAACTTTTATAGAGGTATGTTTTAATATGTGTATTTGTGGTATTTTTGCTGTTCTTATGTTTTTAATTGTTCTGTAACCCACCTTGAGCCATAAGGAGAGGTGGGTAAGAAATAAAATTATTGTTGTTGTTGTTGTTATTGTTATGTTATTTCATCTGAAAGGTAGTGCTGCAGGATATCATGAATTGCTAAAATGACAATTAAATGAGTCCTAGAATAAATAAGTCATAAACTCTCCTATGAAGTCAAGATGACTAAATTGAAGCGTTCATACCTTCGCCATATCATAAGAAATGACTTACTAGAAAAGACATAACACATTCAAGATGTATGCTATGGTTGTCTTTATTTATGCATTTCTTGCTATTAGAAGCAGCATGTTCTTAAAGTGGAAGTAAAATATGGCACTATTTTAAAGAATCATCAAGTTACAAATATGGTGGGATTCCTTGTATGTAAAAGAGAAATTGGAAACAAAGGTTTCTATTATACATATTGTCAGAAACCTCAAGCATATTGAATCATGTGTTGGGTCTCAACCTAACAGAATGTTCATAAATGTTGATGTTTTTAAACCTATTTTTTAAAAAATTCAGAAGACAGCTGGCGATGATGTCAACCCGGCCGACGATCCCAATAATCAGGGTGAAGATGAATTTGAAGAAGCAGAGCAAGAGAGAGAAGAGAATCTACCTGATGAGAATAAGCAGCTAAAATCAAATAACCAGAAGCAACAAAACCCTGAAATGGATGAGCATTTAGTGGTGAGTTTAATGGATAATGATGTCTCCTAATCCAGAGATGACTGCATTTTCAAGTCATGATTTGTATGTGTGAGGGAACTGTTGCAAATTGAAGTTTCATATAATATCACATCCAGTGGTTTACAATATAAAGTCACTTAAACTCAACATAGACCAGCTTGGGGCTCTTTCTTGGAAAAAGGTAGATTCCCGTTATTTTAATGTTCCATTCTTTTCTATTTCCCACTTGCTGCTTTGTTTTCTTTCCAGTTTAACATGGATTTTTTAAAAATAATTTTTTATTATCCATAAAGGGAAAGATATTTTAGTATTTTACATAAAAAGTGGGAGAACATTGGAGCAATAATAAAGTAGAAAACAAAAAGTAGTAAGAGAGAGAGAGAGAGAGAGAGACCAATTGACATTCATTCTATACCGTTGTGATTCACATTTTCTTACATTATAAGTTCAGATATCCATATATATTTATAGTCAAGATTTGATGAAGAGTCCATATTTTAATAATGTCCTTATAGTTCTTTTTCCTTTTCATATTCCTCAATAAGATTCCAATCAGGCCTTTTAATTGGGCTTCCCGAAGTATTTTTCAAAAAGAAAGTTAGTTTATCCATATCTCTGATTTCACTTAATTTACTTAACTAAATGTCAATCTCTGGTACTTTGTCCAATTTCCAAAGTTTTGCATAAAAGATTCTCACCGCCGTTGTCATATAGGTAAAAAGGATGTCCTTATTGTGATCCAATACTAACTGAGTTCGTGAGGCCTAGTAAATAATATTCTGGTTTGCTTGGGAATGACATTTTAAGTACTTTTTGAGTTTCTTCATGTATGGCTTTCCAATATTTTTGAGCCTCCCCACAGGACCACTACATGTGAAAGTAATGTGGTGGTCCTGTGTAACATGGAATAACATGGATATTGGTTTGCCACAGTTCATTTACTCAATTCGTATTCTGCCTTTTGTGATAAAATATAACATATATAAGGGCTTGCAAATAATCTGTTCCTAATGATCTAAATGTATTTTCTGTGTCCTCACGACTTCTGGTCCTTCAGATTGAGAATATAGTCCAAGACCTGTGTACATTGGTAAAATTTTGTATAGAAAAAATGCAGTTGTGCTTGCCATTGTATTGGTTTTTCTTTATTGGCTGTGTTTCATTCATACACTCAAGACTTTGTTATACTGTTTTTAGAAGCACTTAAGTAAATGTTTTGATTTAATTTGGAAAATGCTTGAACATTTTAAATGCTTGAACTTGAAGGCCAACATTATTGTTCATTCTCTTCAAATGTTTTGTCTCATCTTTCTTTAGTTGAACTTGAAAGCTGCTGCAAACTGAATAAAATCAAAACACAAAATCAAAAAAATATAATACAACTATACGTCTTCTCTTTAGAAGAACAACAAGATAATATATATCAATTTACCAAATTGCTTTGATACATTGTCTTCTTGAACTTTTTTAAAGTATCTGCCAATAATATAGTTTAAAGCTTTGTTAGGGCATCTTAGAAGGGGAAGGGGGAGGGAGTTGAAATTGTAATTATTTGAAATAAAAACCCATGTAGTGCAGATATTCTTTGGAGTTGAACATTTGTTGATTGCCTTCCAATTATGTAGTGCTGAGTGTGTCTTTGAGTTACGGGTTTTCGTTTTCATCTTGAGTTGCAAATGGAAGTGTTGTATGATTCTATTTCCTGTGATTTGAAGGCGAGCCAGGATCTCTTTGTAAGGAGAACTTTTAATAAGCTTTAAGTGCCTCATCCTTAATTGTTCCTCTTTAGAAGAGTTGTAAAAACAGTATTGTTTCAGTAGATATATTTACAGTCTCTATGGCTTCAATCCTATTTACAGTTCTCTAACACTATATTCACAAACTCAATAGAATTTAGTTTTGAGTAGACATACATAGAATTATGTTGTAAATATGTCTTGAGCTGATTTTATTGTTTCTTTTAAACTACTGCTTCTTCCCTTTCAAAGAGTTGTTTTAATGTTTGCTTTTCATTTAAAATTGGAAGCTTTTTGGAGAGACATATTGATATAGGGTACATATTACATAATTTACATGACAATTCTGTGCCATCTGAGAAGGCATACCAGTCACAATTGATATACGTTTCCCCCATAAAGTTGGGAAAATGATGCTCTGACCCTGAAGAAGGCTATCCGCTCCCTTTAGATCCTATATTTCTCCCAGCCCTGTAGTAACATGCATATTTCCCACTTCCACAAACATTGAAGGTCTGGCTTTCAGGGAAGTAAGGGGAAGCATATTGCCAACATATGGGGTAATGTGTCCTTCTCTAGAGTTAATGCACATAATTTCCTTCCCATTACTCAGAATACAGTGACAATAGTTGCAAGAGGAATAAGAAGAATAATGTGTGTAGTAGGGGGAAGGTTGGGACCCCAGCAGATTTGTTGTGGTGTTACACACTTGTAGACTTCCCATTTGAAAAACAGGACAGTGACACCTATTGATATTGCCTCATCTATATAACCAGTTAAAGGACAATAGACCTAATCCTTATTTCACCTGGCAGCCCTAATCACACTTCTGACTAGAAAGTGTATCAACTGGACAGGTACTATTGGACATTAATGCTAGAATACATCCATTTCCTATGCCCTATTGATTAAACAGGTTCTACTGTAATAGCAACTAATAATTAGATTTAGATTTTTGTGGGGGGGGGGGGTTGGGGGGGGGCTGACTTGGACTGTTCAATTTCTGGTTACAAAAGTACCCTGGTTACGAAAGAACCAAGGAATGAGGTATGGCTGGTGCTAGTGTAATTTTCAATAATGACTGTAAATAATGCAACAAGAAAGAGTGTTTTACCATAGCAAGACTAGTCACTGAAAAATGACTAACCCCCATGAGCTTTTTGCTTTTTAGCAAATTTTGCAAAATATTACTATGTGTTATAAACAACATAATTGCCCAGAAAAATGTGTATTTTCATACATAGCATACTGCTTTCTACACAAAAGCCATATTTGTGTGTGTGTGTGTGTGTGTGTGTGTGTGCATAAAAGGAGTTTTTTGTGTGCAAACTACTTTTTTTTCAAACAAAAAGACCTGAAACACAAAAAAGCATTAAAAATAGATAAGAAACTCTTGTGGGCTCTTCTGGTAGGCTGAAAACTTCTGAAGCTCTTTGGTGTTGCATATGAAATAAAAAAGACTTAGCTCTTTCCTCATAACTTTGTATAGTGAAGAGAATTGTATTAGGACAGGAAGAGAAGTGGAACAGTGCCCCCCAATCCCCCCCCCCACAAAAAATGTAAATCTAATTATTAGTTGCTGTTACAGTAGAACCTGTTTAATCAATAGGACATAGGAAATGGATGTATTCTAGCAATAATGTCCAATTGGATTTAGCTTCAAATCTCAATTAACTTACACAAAACACATAGTGTTTCTCCTGAGGCATTAAAAAACCCTAAAATGTGTACATTTTAAATGTTTGTTTGTTCTTGTCACCAAGATCAATTAATTACAAATATATAGGTTAAGCAAGAGATAAAAATGCAAGCAGTAAACATTTAGCCAGCCATTGTATTTCTAAAGATCATTCCACCCTAACAGATACAAAATGAAAATGGGGAGAGAAAGAAAGGGAACATTATTTTTGATAATGTTCTCTAACCTAAGAATGGGTAAATACAACCCCTTTCTTCACAAAGTTATCATCATATATATTGTTTGCCCAGTCTGATAAAGGAGAGGCAATACTCTTATTTTCCAACAGACAGTGCTAGATAACTTAGTAGATTTATAGCCTTTCCTCTTGTTGCCTGCACCTCCTTTTACATAATTCCATCAGAGCTTTTCTAAGTTTGTGCCTAGTAACTGGTTCAACGTAAATTACAATTGTCCACTAATATATTTTGTTTTCTCCTAGAATATGTGAAAATGGTCAGCATACAATTAAGTTTATTGCCAGCCTTGATCATAAATGACAGCATATGCAAGTTCAATGTTATTGAGATGTTATTTTTATCTTGTTTCTTATCTTTTAACCACAGTGAAAGGATATAGTATATGTATACTAGGCCACTGAGAAATAATGGGCCTTGAAACTTAAGGCACTGCGATTCAGCAGATTGTTATGCCCAATGCTAGAATTTATTTTGAAAGAATACATACTTTTTTATTGACTGTGGAAGCATTGCTTGTGGTACGTGTTTGTTTTGCCTGCAGATGGTGGGTAATCCTGATCAGCAAGAAGACAACATTGACGAACAGTACCAAGAAGAGGGAGAAGAAGAGGTAAAAACCCATATTTCATCTGAAGGATGTTATCCATTTAAGATTTATTAACTGAGTCTGGTAATAATTTGAACTCAAGACTTTAACAAAACAATGGTTGTAGCTCAAGAGTTCCACTCCATGGAAGCTATCAAATCTATTCTATTTAGAATGCTTACAAAGCCATATATTAGCAGCACTTGGGCAACAAAAGACTATTATTATTATTATTATTATTATTACTCCTACTACTACTACTACTACTACTACTACTACTACTATTATTTCTTACCCACTGTTGTGGGTATTTCCTACCCAATGTTGTAACTTGGCTCAAGGCAAATTACAACATTATTCCACAATCCTCTAAAAACATTCTACAAAATACACATATTAAAACATATTTCTCCAAAATACATATTAAAATACACAGAACAAAGAAAGATAAGACACAGGTTTAACATTCATGACTATGACATACATACAAACTCACCAGTAATGACTATTTTCAAAAATATGTATATCCCAATTCATCTTTGTATCTTATTCCAATGTTCTTGAAGTTACTAGAAACTGAAAACATTTCTTTTGTCTAAGGAGATTTTTATTCAATATGACTGTAACTCATTAAGGCCTTGTAGTCACTTTTTAACTTTTTGTTTGTGTTTTAATGTGCTTCTCAGGTTGTTTGGAAGAGAAAACGAGGGAAGAATGGACAGGGTTTGGTGGAAGGGCAGGAAGTTATACATAAGATAGAAACACTACCTGTAAATAGCACTAGGAAACACCAAATGAGAGGCCAACAGCACTTGTTTCCTGCTTCCAGCAGCCCCTGGGCCAAAAAAAAGGGGGGGGGAGGTAGCAAAGGAGGTAGTCCACCTAATTTTGATTTTTCTGACCCATTCAGCTTGTGAACCACTCTTGACAAAGTACATTGCACTTAATGGAGCAAAACATTAGAGAAATTGGGTGATAGAGGACAAAGAATAAAATAGATACAACTATTAGGATTATATACAAAGGAACAGTCAAAATTATATTCCAGAATATAGGGACATGGTTTAAGAAATGAAACAGTTGCACATGTCAAATTCTGTTTGCACAAACAAACAAACTACATTTGTTATGCTATGACTGAAAAAGTGAAAACACTAAAGTAAGGGAACTTAACAACTAGCATAATACTGGCCAAGAAGATAATTTCTTCCTTTATTGGTATTAAAAGGGATGTGTCTAAATGTAGCCATAAACCATAAATAACTTTTTAGTAGGTGGTAGTGGTGTGCCTTTGAGTCATGATGACCTTAAGAAAATATATTGCGATGTTTTCTTTTCAAGATTGTTCAGAAAATTCAGATTCAAACCCTATTCCCCAGAGTTGTAGTCTAATGCGCAAACCACTACACTATGGTTTGCTTCCTCAACAATTAGATGTGTGTTTCTTACAGGCCCAGGGAGATTTGACAGAAGAGAAGAAAAGGGAGTTGGAACACAATGGTGAAGAACCGTATGGTGAAAATGATGAAAATGTAAGTATTGTTTAGATCAGTGGTTCTCAACCTGGGGTCCCCAGATGTTTTTAGCCTTCAACTCCCAGAAATCCTAACAGCTGGTAAACTGGCTGAGATTTCTGGGAGTTGTAGGCCAAAAACATCTGGGGATCCCAGGTTGAGAACCACTGGTTTAGATGGACTACTCAGTAATGTGGGTGGGCATGAAAGGCTCAGGTGTCAAAGAAAATACTATATAAAAATGGGGACTTGCTCCCAAATTGTGTGCTATGTGGGTCTTTTAATTGACCATCCTTGAATCTAGGACATAGTTCAGGCACTACTACAGCTCAGACACTTGTAAGAACACAAAACAAAGTGACAGGAAATAGTGTGAGGGCACATGATGCTGTTTTGAAGCTAAGTTCCTCTTGATCTTGTTAGTGATTGTGTGGATGATTGCTATAGAATGCCAAATCAACTTTACAAAAAAAAGAAAGATGAAAGTTCAGTAAATAAATAATGCAACATTCCTGTATTAACAGAATGCAAGAAGAAATTCAAAAGTATGTTGTGGGAAGCCAACACAAATACTGGCAAGAGTTCTGCTGGGGTTGGAGTGCCCTTGTAGTCAGTTGTTAGAGATTGGCTATGGAGGGTATAAGAACAATAGAAAGCCACTGCTTCACATACCTCTCTCTTGGAGGGAATTAATTTTTGCTTCTGCTGTTTATTTTATGAAATGGGAGAATGCAATTGCACACTCTACTCCAAACAAGGAAGAGGGAAATGGGGAGAAACCTGTCAAAACTAGATCACATGGAAGTTCAATGTATTGTTGAAGGCTTTCATGGCTGGAATAACTTGGTGGTTGTAGGTTTTTTGGAATGTATGGCCATGTTCTTAAAGCATTCTCTCCTGATGTTTCACCTGCATCTGTAGCAAGCATCCTCACAATCTCTGAGGATGCTTGCCACATGCAGGCGAAATGTCAGGAGAGAATGCTTCTAGAACATGGCCATACAACCCAAAAAACCTACAACAACCCACATGGAAATTTCTTCTTCCCCATAATAAACTCTTTGCTCTTGGGGGTGATGGTTGTGAGTGGTAACACTTGTAACTTTTAGCATAGAGGTGTGAGTGTGTGTGCATGTGTGCACATGCACACATGCATAAATTTACTTCTTCTGGTTGCTTTAGGCTAAAGAAACTCTGTGTCTGGAATAAACAGTAAGACAGAAATGGGAATTGGCTATGCTATGAGGTGCAAATGTGAGTTGACCTGCAAAAATATGTGGGAGGGGATGGGTCACTTCAAGCAATAAAGTAAACTAGGCATAATTCAAAGGTGAGAGGGCAGATCACCTCTTGAGAGGAGTGTCTTCTAAATAGGATGAATTCCTCTATATATTTGACTGAAATCAAGATATCTGACCTGCTTCAGGGCAGAGAAACAAGCAGCATCACTCTGACCTTTGCTATCAGATGACCCCGTAAACCATTGAAGACCTTTAGTTGTAACTGAGACAAACTTGATTTCCTTCTATATTTGACCTTGATCAGATTAAACATGACCGGTTGGTTATGTTCTTTTACTTAATTATTTAACACCTCGAGCCTAATTCTATAGGTGGGAAAGACAATTATCAATATACAGAGTTTTCTTAATGTCCTTATTATACTGAAATAAAACCATTTTTATTAAAGCAACGTTTTCTTCATACTAGTTACAACAATTATATAAAATACCAAAAAAAAAAAAGAAGAGAAAAGAAAAAGAAAAAGAAAAGCCATGTATCTACTATAGTAATGGAAGGAGTGATGTTGTCACCAAACATTAAGTCCAATGCCGTACCTTCTTCTAGTATTATCTCAAGATCTTCTAGTCCAGGCATGGGCAAAGTTTGGCCCTCCAGGTGTTTTGGACTTCAACCCCCACAATACCTAACAACCAGTAAACTGACAGAGATTTCATTTGTCAAAATTGGAATTGCTTGAAACAGATCCCATATTTACTCAATTCTGATGCTCAACTTTTTTGGCTAAATTACCTCTCTAAAATTAAGGTGCACATGATCTTAATGCTGAGCCAAAGCCAAAGGGAAGCTGCTTCAGGAGTCCCTGGAGCTCCTCTTTGATGGATATCAACTCTCATTTAGTGGCCACAGCTCAATGGTATGGGATCCTGGGATTTGTAGTTTAGTGAGGCACCAGCAGTCTTTGGCAGAGAAGACTCAAGATCTTGTAAAACTATAGCCGTCATTATTCCATAGCATTGAATCAAGACAATTAAGATGGATCCATTCTACAGAATCCAAGGTTTTGCTTTTCATTGCTGGAAGCTTTCATCTTCTAAATTAGAAAGAGTGCAGTTTTTGCCACTGCACATTACATTCAACAGCAAATACCTTTTTTGGTTTCAAGGTTTTGAAAATTGAGGTGTGCATTAGATTCGATAGCACATTAGGTTCGTGTAAATGGGTATATCATTTTGGGAAGTACATTCATTTTAATTGTCGCTATTCTTACAAGTTAGGGCAAGTCCAAATTGTTCCATCTTTGTAAATCTTTTTGTATCTCTTTCCATACTTTTTCATAATTATTTTTGAATACTTCAGAGCTATTGTTTGTTAATTGAATTCCCAGATATTTTACTTTACTTGTAATATGTATTTTTTCATTTGTTTCACCATCTCTTGATTCACTTTATTCACATTATTAGTTAGATATATATTTTGTCTCGGTTAATTGACAGTCCCACCACATTTCCCAAGTTCCGTTATTTCTAACGCTTTTGGACTATTCTGTAGAGGATTTTGTGTCAAAACCACAATGTCATCTGCAAGAAGTTTTATCATACAGTTTTCTTTCTTAATTGTTAAACCTTTCATATTTGTGTTCAATCAAATTTGCCTTGTCAGTACTTCCACTGCTCATATAAAAAGTGGGCATCATTTTCTGACCCCTTTTTGAATTTCTATTTTTGTCCATTCTATTTAGTTCTATTTACTACTTCTTCAGTCTTTTTCTTTTAATCTTTTTTTACTTACGTATATATAATATACTTCTTTAGCTAAGTCAAATTTCCCTCCCCATATAATTAGGAAGTGAGGTTAGTAAAGGCAAAATTTCATAGGTTTTGTAGCCTTCTATTCACTTAAAGTCAGGTGTCTCTTCTCTATTTATTGTAATTTACTTGTGCTTTTGCTTTTATGGCTACCAGGTGTCTTCTTCCTGCCACAGTTTGTCTTTGTTATTGTTTTGCAAAATTCAGCGATACTAAAATTGTCAGAATTTGTGCTTGTGCTTTTATGGCCACCAGGTGCCATCTTCCTACCACAGTTTATCTTTGTTATTATTTTGCAAAGTTCAAAGATACTAGAGTGTTAAAATTTAAAAATAATGTCCTTTTCCCATGCTGTAAGATTTCTGGCAGTGTAGATAAACTTCCCTAAACCCTTTTCTCTTGCCTTTCACATTTACAATTTAGACAGATTTCTCCCTTCAATATTTCTCCGTCAGTATTTTAATTGGGTTATAAATTGTTAACTAACTTGCAAAAAAGGAAAAGAGAAACCTTTAAAATTCCTCGTCTTATCTTCTCAAGCAGAAAATCTTCTCTTTTCTCTTCAATAAAATTATCGGCTAACAACTATTTTGGAATGGTCTGAACTGATTTTTTATTCTTTTTAATGCCAATTCAATTCAGCTACCATTCAGTCAACTAATTTTGGTACTTGGACTGAGTGTTTGCAGTCTTTCTGTTCTTTCTTTCTTCCTCCTCTTTAATCCACTTCTTTCTGCTCTGGTCTTAAAGTCTAGAAAATTCATAGGGTGTTCTAGGGTGAGGGAGGGAAGGAAGAGTAGTTGAGCAATCAATGATATTGGCTGTGTTGTGTTTTCGTGTTCTACTTTCTGTCCCCCTTCAGCTGTTCTGCTCTCGGCTTCTACCTTACCACTAGCCTCCCTGTCGGGGGCTTTTCAGGGATCTCAACTCTCCCTAGCTGCTACCACTGGCTAAGGACATTTGCACCTCACTCCTCTGCCACTTATCTAGCTGAGGCAACTCTCCTTTAAACCCTTAAAGGGCAAACAGGAGAGCACCAAATCGTTACTGTTGGGAGTAGAAACTCACCTGACTGATCTCGCCACCATGTCAACTTAAAATAAAAAACATTTCTGCAGCAGATGGTGTTGGATCCAGGGTTGCAGAATGTGTAGTGTGTTTTTTCATCTTTAAAAGATGAGTAATCAGTTTTCTTATTTTTGTTCTGATTGCTGTCACACCCCATTCCACCCCTACCCTCTTATTTTTCAGGCTGAAGAGAAAATGAGTGAAGGTGCTGATCACGAAATTCCAGAAGAATCCCATCGGAAAGAAGGTCATGATGAAAACTATGAAGAGCAGGATGAGGAAGAGGAAGACGAGGAAGGTGATACTGCAGCCGCAAAAGCCCATAGACGAGGAGAAATGTAAATTTCAAGCTACTCTGCTCCTTCTTGGAAATAGACTGTGCAGATCCTAGAGAAGGACAGAATGAACCTTTTAAAAACCAATACATATGTATTATTATTTTTGTTGGATTTTTGTGCGTTTATATGAATACAATATTTTAGATTAGTTTTCTTTTTATATAAATGCAAGAGACAGTGTTTCTTCACCCTTATTTCCTCCTCCCACCACCACTACCTTAATTTTTATATTGATGTCTTTTTTAAAAAAAAGTTTGAGTTTCAACTTTGACATTGTCCCAATAGTGGCCAGTCTTTTACCCTAAAATGCCATTGTTTGCAAAACAGCAACAAAAGAAGTGCCTGTGCATGATATTTTGGGAAAGGGCTGTGAGATGCCTTGCACCAACATCTCAATTTTGTGGGTCTTCCCACTGTGGTGCCTTGCCACACATTCATTTTCATTGCAGTGAATTTGTCCTGAGTTTTGTCTGAAGCGATCAGGTAAAAACTTAGTTGTTCCCGAGTTACTATGCCAGAAACAGCAGCATTTTAGGCATCATATCATAACATTCAAGTGCACTGTAACGCAGCATTATTATTATTTTTTGCATTCCTCCTGAGGAGACATTGAATATTTTGGATTATTCAAAACACAGCTGGGAAAATAATGTGTTAAACATTAGTTTGTTGTCCCTAATTCTTTAAAAAGTTAGAGAAGTATTTCTTAAATTCATAATTTTAATTGCTAAACTCCAGTGACATTATTTTTGAGCAACAATCTTTTTACCATTTGTCACCAGCCATTTTTAATCATTGTAAATGATTTTCTCATTAAGATTTTCATGTCAATGAATTCAATATATTTAGCAATACCAATGTATTAGTGCTAAGTCTAATCTTTCCAAGCTCTAGATCCAATCAATTCCATCTATGCAGCTGCAGTACTGAACAAACATATACTTGTACACACACATCACAGTGGTGTGTGATTATATGATAAGGCACAGTAGTTTGTTTAAGGGAGTGTTCAGATTGAAAGATTATTTTATGCCATTTCAGACAGTTATACATTTCTAGACAGGTTTTCTGGTGTAAGACCAACAATTAGTTGTCTTTAGTGCTTTTTCTTAAGAGCACAGAGATAACATATTAGCAACATACGTTGACTTAATAATTCTTACAGCAACGTTTTCATGTGGAGCAGTGTTATTTTCCTTATATTTCAACACTGAGAAATTACTCTTTGATGTATTTCCTTTGCTAGGAGTTATCCTCTTTGTTTAGTCTGCACTGTTACTCAGTGCAGTTCATCCCAATTCAACAAACTTTGCAGGGTCTCATAATTCCCAGGCAAACAATAGACTCAAATTCTGGTATATTGTGCAGAATGAGCAATGAAACAACAAACAACAAAGAGCATGGATTTGGATAGTCTGGACACAACAAGACTGCAGCCTTTTATCTCAGTATCCATTACAGCCCCAAAAACGACTTCTGCCACATATTCAGTTGTGAAGCAAACACGCAGTGCATATTTTGACTTGGAGGGGTGGAATTCAAAGTTGGAAATCTATGACAAAGGAATTTCAAGATGTCCAGGATCATGTTATTTAAATGTTATATTGTAATTAGGTCAGTGAGTTACAACATGTTTACTATGAATTACATGGAGGCCAGTGCAAACTTGAATACTTCCCCAGTCTGAAACCAGGCCTAAGGAGTCAAAAGAAGGCTTGTGTGCTCCACCCAGTATCCCTCAACCATCTAATTCTTTCACGGGAAGAATTTTATAACCAATCTTCTTGAGAGGATTTCGAACTAGGGCTTGAAATTGATTTTGTAGCCCAGGTAAGCTAGGAAAAATTATTTTAATGGAGTTACCATTTCTTTTTACTACGATTTCCAGCATATACTAGCCAGTATGACTAAATCTTGCTGACTTTGGGATTCTGAGTGTTGTGGCCCTCATAGTAACTGTTTCCCAAATTCTGGTGGTGAGAATTAAATTGTTCTTTCACAAAGTTGGATGTACCACAGCCCTTATTCAAAACAAAATTCATTTGTGAGTCTACTAATTATTACATTTTTTAGAAGGAGACGGATCAGTTTGGTGATTTTTCACAATCTTGTCTGGTTTCATCCTGAGGTGAGAGGACTCTAGGTATTTTAGTGGTTTTTCTAGTAAATTAGACCTGGATGCTGATGTCATGCAGCATATCTCTCCCTGGTGCCATTATTTTGCAGCTCTTCTCCAATTCTGTTCTCAGATTGTTAGCTAGGCAAATGCTTATTAGTTGCATGGATGATGTGGCTTGTGACCCCTCAGTATCGAAGGACATGCTGCAGTTCATGAAAGATGCTCAAATTTTGCAACCATGGCAGGGTATTTAAGGTTGCTATTAAGTGTATTCATTAGACAAGCTATCTTGTGTGTGCTCATGCAGGTAATTTGTAACACAATGGCTGGAATCCATTCTAGTATGGCAGGGGTTTGGATTTGTCACCCCTTGAGATCTCTTCCAACACTATTATTCTAGTTATCAGTGCATAACATTGTCACTGGTTCATATTCCCTGTCCTTATGTATTCACTTCTTTAGGGAAAATATAGGTTTTGTGAAAGCCTCCTCCCCTCCCGCAGTCCATGTACTGGTCAGCAGCTGCTGCCGTTCATCTATCAATTGGGAAGCATCTGACTGACTTTCTCCTTCCTGTGAGCAATCTCTGGCATGAAAGGGAATTGCAATAAGGTCTCTTTTCCTGCCTCCCATAAGCAGAGATTGTTTATGGAAGGAATTGGAAGTGTCAGTTGCTTTCCAGTTAGCAGGAGAATAGACCCTTCCTTGTAACAGCAGTTGCTGCCCAATAACTGGTGATTGCAGGGGACCAGGAAAATCTGTATGTAGCTATATAACTATAGTTGCTGTGTAGCTGATATAGAATTCTAGCAAATTTATGGTGCCTTTGACCTTGACATGTTGCTCATAGTTTCGCCTGGCCTGCATTCAAAGATCCACCAATACAGGTCAAACAATTGACAGTTTAAATTCTTTATAGACACTCAATAGAATGCCCAGTGAGCCCGCCACAAGAGCTTCCAGAACTTCTCTTGGGAACATAACATACTCTTCCAAAAATGGGAAATCAGTTTGTTATATTTATATAAATGTCACTCGGTTTTTATCTTCACAACCCTGTGAAATCAATTGAGTGACTGGCTCCAACTTAGCCTCTCTTGTATCCAGTGTCCTTGCACTAGCACAAGACATGGGTTATATTTTTTCAATATCAGTGTCTATTGTGCAGAAAGCTGTTGTTCCATGCATTGTGCAAGAATTTGTGTAGTTGTTTGTACCATCACTTGCACAATTATTTTGTACGATCCTTTGTGCAAAGGGCTCATGCAGCAGAAATCTACTAGTAGGAATTTTGACTCCATTGGTATTGAATTAGATGTAATGGGTTTGTGGGTTTCTTCAGCTCAGGTCCACTGCAGTCTAACCAGTGCAAATACCCTTTCCTATGTGTTGTACTAAAGAGTTGTAATCAATGAAAGAAAGTTTGCAACACATATTTTCATTTTCAGAAGCAGTGTACGATTTGTAATGTATGGGTTATGTTACTTCAGCCTTTTTACACAAGTGTAATATAGTTCATTTTGTACTAACCTGATAATTTGCTTTTATAAATGTTTTCAATTATTCTTTATATGGATTTTTAAAGTAAGCAACTTCTAACACTTCTCTGGACTGTATGTGTGAAGTGCAAATTTGAAATTTTCTGATTGCCACAAAAATGATTTATCTTAAATGTAGGGTAAAAGGTATCCCTGTTTACATATATAGCTGTAAAGTGTATAATATGTACATAATCTTTGGAATACAAATTTTTGATACATTTTGTGTGTATTTTTAATGCTGGGAGGCAGTATTTAATTATTTTGAGGCATATTTGGAGGCCACAAATAAACAATAAAATTTAAGGTAACATTTACTTTAGTCTGTGATGACTTTTGGGGGGGAGAGCATTGATCTGTGGGCAGGTGACAACTGTGAGTTCCTTTGACCAGTGACTCTGCAGTGATCAGAAGGAATCCTGCATGGGTTTATCAAGCTAAACTTAAATCTTGTTTTGATCAGGTCACTAATTTAATATATGAGAATGCTGTGTTAACATTTACCTGGATTTCATGGAAATATTTGATAAGGTCAGTTACAATATTTTGATTAGCAATTTGATTAAATGTGAAAAAGTTGGGAACATTTTCAAATAAATCGATAATTAATTGGAACACTGCTCAAACAGTCAACCTCAATGGCTGCAAAAATGTGCAGGTGACATAAAATTGTGAAGGATGGCCAGCACATTGGAAAATAGAATTCAAAAATACCTTAAATGCATTTCTATTTGACCCCTGATCCCATCTTAAACGGGTCACTTTGGAAGCCATTGCTGACCAAGACAACTGCCATAATGTTATGGAGGAGTCGTCGTAGGATATTCACAAATTTCTCAGGGCATTCAATTTTTTGGAGGATGGTCCAGAGAGCATTTTGGTTCACTGTGTCAAATGCCTTTGCAAGGCAATGCAATGTACAGAGGTTGATTTTTGTTCCCTACATTTTTCTTGAAGCTGTCATGCAGTGAAGATTATGCCCAATATTCCTCTGGAAGGGGAAACCATTCTGGGATTCTGGGAGGATGTCTTCTGAAATAGGTAGAAGGCAGTTTGCAAGTATTTTCTCAGCAGAGGTTAAAAGGGAGATACCTCAATAGTTTCCACAGTCTGTTCTTTCTCCCTTTTTGAAAAAAAGAAAAGAAGAGGGGGTGATATTGGCATCCTTGAAGTCTGCTGAGATCTTCTCAGTCACCCAGAACTTTTCAATAAGCTTGTGGAGTTGTTGCCTTAGCTCAGATCCACTCCTTAAAGATTTCAGCAGGAATCCCATCAGGTCCACTGACTTTCTTATATTTCAGTTGGTTGATGTATTTACTGACTTCTTCCAAGGTAGGCAGTGCTGCAAGATCATCCCTAGTTTATTACCAAAATGCACACTTAACAGGATAGGGGATTTATGGCTCAGCAGGATTACATGTGGAAAAATACCTTGGGACTGTGGGCAATCATTAATTGAATGTGAGCCAGAAATCCAATGCTGCAAAAAAAAAATAAGACAATGCATTAATAGAAACATAATTTCCATGTTGGGGAAAGTAATAGTTCCACTATATTATGTACTGGTCAGGCCTCAGTTTTGGAGACCATATTTTAAGAAGATTATAGTCAAGTGGAGCAGATGCAGAGGAGGTCAACAAGTATGGTAAGAGTACGGAGAACAAAACATGAGGCAAGGTTGAAGGAGTTGGACCTGTTCAGCTTGATGAAGAGAAGATATTATACTCTTTAAATGCCTTAAAGGCTATCACAGAAAGGAGGGAGCAGGCTTGTTCTCTGCTTCCCCAGAATGAAGGACCAGATTAGTCTAAACTTCTTGACTATAAGAGTGATTTGGCAATGAAATCTATTGCCTTGAATGATTTCACAAAGAGGCTGGGTGGCTATCTGCTGGCAATATTTCAGCTGGAGATCCTGCATTGAGCAGAAGGTTGGCTTTGATGGCTCAATGAAGCCCCTTCCAACTCACTTTATGAATGTTTTCAAATCAGTTTTTTTCCACTTGGAGAAGTTCCACGAAATAAATTCTTCAATGTCTTTGTCCTTTACAGGTTGAGAATTTTGAAAAGGCCATATGTGCATAGCTGCCAGGGTGGGATTGGGGAACAATTACATGATACAGATAGACATTACAGATGCTGGAAAAGGTACCGTGTGTCAATATGACAGAATCCTTATAAATAATAATTGTTGTTTTTAATTGTCAAAACTGCTTTGTCTTAGAATGCAATACCATCAAGACACAGATTTCATTAACAGCTCTTGCAAACTCAGAACGGTGGCCTCCTTGACAGAGTCTATCTCCCAGTAATGTCATCTACCTCTTGTCTTAGTGCCTTTTACTTTTCCAAACCTTATCTTGTTATCACATGAGATGACCAAAATACCATAGCTTCTGTTTGGTCATCTTGGCTTCTATGAAGACTTAGTTCTTGAATTGTTCTCAGGAATATTTATTCGTTATTTTGTCAAGCTATGGTCTTTACAGAATTCTCCTCCAGCACTATATTATCAGTGAACTACCTCTCTTTCTAGCAGCTTTCTTCACAGTCCAGCTTTCACAACAATACAAAGGTATCAGAAATATGATGGCATGGACAAACTTGACTTTCATATTCTCAATGATATATATTTTACAGTGATGGGATTGTATACATCTGTGCAGCAAATGGCTTTGTTGCTGGTAAAGTCTCCCACATAAGACAGGCTTTTGCTGAGAAGTTGGACACAATGTGCCAAATAGCAACTGGGCATCAGCATAAGTGGAAGGTGATACTTTGTTAACATTTCTTACTAATACGTGGAAAGAGGTATCAGTGCTTTACTTCTGTAGGTTTTTGACCACAAATATCCTTGGGTGAGACAATCCAAAATGAAACAAGGACTATGGTTAATGGAAAGCAATTAGGGATAGGCCTATTTTTGGGTTTATCCCTCAGCTGACTAAAGATACATACACGCATATGTGTCTATATATGAAAGAAGAAACTTACAAGAACAAGGGAGAACATCTTGAGAGGGGAAGGGAAGAGATGAATGTTGAATGAAAGGAATAATCAGCTTCTCAAAAGAAGTGTTACATGTTCCAGAAGAATGAGGAACCCGGAGTTTGGGAGATGGGATCAAGAATTCTGGAGAGAATGAAATATTAAAAAGTGGGCTAAGTAGAGATTTCTTGGATAGGAGATGTGAGGGGGTGGGGGTGGGGGTGGTAATGTCAATGGCAATGAAAGTTAGTTTTCCTCATGTTCTGAATAACCAGCCAAATCTTTGTAGAGACACTTATGTCACAGGATGGTGCATACGTTTTTATGCAAGCATGTATAGAGTATAGCATCCAGTGCATCCTGAAGTTATGCTGGTGTGATGTTCCAAGAGGATTCGCCCCTTGACTAAATCTGAATCCAACCCAGGATACATTAATTTTCCAGTACAGACTACAATGATTCTGTGATTTTTTTTCCTCAGTGTCCTTCAGATGATCCCCCCACCCCCCAATTCAAAATGTGCATGTTTGTTCACTCCATATAAATATGAGCATTTATAGTTTGACAACTGAAATACTTACGGAATATCAAGTACAAACATCCAAAGCAGCTGAACTGCAGCAAAATAAAACATTCCCTTTAATTTGCATGACATATAATTTGACTTCAAACAATTTTCCTGGAAGACATTCAACATTTGGAGGAGGGGGGGTTGGTTCAGTTTTGGAATTATTCATTGTTTTCCCAGTCACCATCAGTCATTTTTAAAAGAGTATAAAAATAAATGTGTCTGCCACATCAACTCAAAAAGCATGCTTACATTTTTATTGGAATTTAAATGCCATCACTGGGTTTTAGCTGAGTCTTGGAATATAAAAGCAGTGCTGGCATGCTTCATATTTAATATCAAGATTTCCAGCTGCTAAGAACAGAAATCTAGTCAGATATGCATCTCTCATTGCACCTATGAGGAGTGCAGCTGGAAGAAAAAATATACTACTTAAAACTCCCCTTTCATTGAAAAGACTACATTACCCTGGGTGGAGACACACATTTTAAAGGTGCTGAAGAAGAAATTACAGTGCATACGCCTTGCCTAGATGTATTATTTTATTTCTTCTAACATATCAGGTCAAACAGGTTTTTTTAGGTTATAGAAGTCCTGAAAAATCTGTTTAATCATGGGCAATGAATAGGGATGGCCAATGCTAAGCCTCTGAAGAACAATATTTCAATGAATGAATGAATGGTGTGTTAACCATTAAACAAAATCTGAAGTACATGTTGTGATATTTTTATTAGGCCAGCCAGAAGGTGCAAATTCATTATTTTAGCTTTCAAACTCCCAGAAACAAAGAAAAATCAATTAAATATTGGTAAAAAATAGTGGACAAATGTCAGCGTGCTGGAAGAAGCAAAGACCACCAGCACTGAAGCGATGGTTCTCTGCCATCAACTCCACCAGACCAGCCACATTGTCCGGATGCCCGACCACCCTCTCCCAAAGCAGTTGCGCTATTCCAAACTCAAGAATGGAAAATGGAATGTTGGAGGTCAGGAAAAGAGATTTAAAGATGGGCTCAAAGCCAACCTTAAAAACTGTGGCATAGACACTGAAAACTGGGAAGCCCTGGCCCTTGAGCGCTCCAGCTGGAGATCAGCTGTGGCCAGCAGTGTTGTAGAATTTGAAGAGGCACGAGTGGAGGGCAAAAGAGAGAAACATGCGAAGAAGAAGACATGTCAAGCCAACCCAACTGGGATCGCTTTCCACCTGGAAACCAATGCCCTCACTGCAGGAGAACATGCAGATCAAGAATAGGGCTCCACAGTAAGCTACAGACCCACTGCCAGTACACCGATCTTGGAAGACAATCTTACTCGGACAACAAGGTATTGTCTAAGTAAGTAAAGTAAAGTACAGATTATAAACACTGACCCACGCCCACTATTTAGTTAATCGCTTTGATAAGAGAGGAAAGGAGGGGTATAAATAACTATAATAATCATAAAATAATAATATGAAGTTATCCACTCCTGAACTCAAAAAAATCTGCTCAGTGGATTTAAGACTATTTTCTGCTACTTGAAACCTGACTTACAATACTGTTTCTCATTGATCAGATTTGTTCTTCAATATGTCTCCACAGCTACTGTACCTAGCATTGCTGTATTCCTTATTGTTTGCTGTTTTCTACCATTGTTAAGCATTTATATGCATTATATATATTTTGTCATCATATATTTTGTTGTATTTAATATTTAAGTGCTAATTTTGTTTGAAGTGTGTTTTGTTTATCTTTTCTAGCCCCTTATTTTCAAAGTGGTTTAAT